AAGGAGTGTACGGACCCCGACAAGGATTGGATTGGATTGGAAGAAGGATTCGAAAGCGACTACAACAAGGACTGCTCGGAATGCCACTCGTGTCAAGCTCTACTCAAGTCAAGTTCTACAGTCAAGCGCGCGACAAGGAGATCAAGGACAAGTACGTTTACTGAAGGAAGGAGGTGCGCACTGAAGCCGTCTACTATCAAGCTCGACTCGCCGCTATGCTCGTCACAAGGTCATCACCAAGTACAACTACAAGATCCTGGATTCCATCAAGTACGGCGCGCAGGTTCGAGAGTCGGCGGACCGACTCCACCTGGGATGCCACCAGTTCGGAGGCCTCGCCTCCTGGAACCCCTCTTTGGCCCGACTACGACGCGATACAAGCGCCAAGGACAGAGCGCGCGCTCACCGAAGACAGAGGCGCACGATTTTCCCCTTTGCCGGCGAGAGGATTGGAATTTCCCCCAAATCCCGATCTCTTCCCTGGCCCTCGTATTTTTTCCCCGTTTTGGCCATAAGAGTTTTCCTGTATTCATGTCCCCTTTTCGCCCTAAAATCTCTACTTTTATTCCCTCTAAACTTTCCCATTTCCATCTCCTCACTAATACTTTTCTCTTTTAGTTTCTCCTTCCACTTTCTGTAAATTCCACCTTTTTCTTTATCTCTAATTCGTCTCACACCATTTCCCGTAATAAATTCTTTAACTCTTAACAGTTTTTCGTTTTACTAATTAGGCTTGAGAGTGGTTTGCGGGGCTAGCTCCCCATTCTTCTTGGTTGGCCGTTTGAGCCGTTGTTCTTGAATTGCCGGTGTGCAATTTTGTGCGTTTCGTTTTCTGCTAGGCGCTACCCTTAGGGGTCAGCGAACCTAACTATTGTGCCCCACCGAGGCTGGAAAAAAAAATGAGAAATGCTAGTTCTGCTCCTTTATATAGGCTACTCCCACTTCCGGTGTATGCTAATTGATTCCTAACAATGAGGGTCTCGGATTTTTCAACAAAAACTAAATTTAATGCCGAAAATAAGAGATTTTGATATATCTGATATGCGTGCAGTCATCTCCAGACCATTACGCTCCTAATGACGTATCAAACATGCCCCTAACTACTCTCCTTCTTGAGATACGACTGCAACAACCTGACGGAAGTTGCATGCAAAGTGGCACGCACACACAGGTATTATTTTTTATATATAGTAGGAATATATAATAGGACCAGATGGTTACAGTCGTTTCGCGACTGCAACCATCTGGCCTTCGGGCTACCCTACATGTTCCACTCCACCACATCTTTTCCCACCTCCATCAATACCCCCATAGCTTAAATCCCCTTCAAAAACTACCTAAATACCTTCCCGATGGCTACCGATACCTCCCCTAACCGAAACCCCCTTAAAAACTACCTAAATACCTTCCCGATGGCTGTAGATACCTCCCCTAGCCAAAACCCGCTTCAAAAACTACTTCGATACCTTCCTGAGGACCTTAGATTAGCCGTAGCCCTAGCCAAAATCCCCTTCAGAAACAACTTATCAGGTTGGAAAGAAAGTAATGGCACAAAATCTTTGAACCGCTGGAAAAACCCGCAGGAACGTCGGATTTGAAAGTTTGATATGTGGTTCGGTAGATCTTCAGATGCTCTATCACGAGACAACCCTGAAAGGACCTAAAAACTAACGTACGCCAAAATACAGGCCTCAGAAGTTTCGCAGAAAATTAGGTGAGAGCTTCCAAGCGAGATAAGTCTGCATACAGGAATTTGCATACGATACCTTTAACACCAATCGATAGCTCTCGAGGAGTCAATACCGATAGATGTTCAGATCATCGAAATCGGACATTGGATCGCCGAGATATGTCCCCTAGAAATCTGGTCCACTTCTTAGAACTTTTTTCGAAATCCCATACATTTAGGCCCGCGCGAGCCAAAAACTGCAGCGTTTCCTTTAGCTTCCGAACCAAAATCGAAAAAATGTATTGATTTTGGAGGACCGATATCTCGGCGGCGAGCCCGAAGGCCAGATGGTTGCAGTCGCGAAGCGACTGTAACCATCTGGTCCGATTATATATTCCTACTATCCTACTATATATAAAAAAGTAGTGTCTGTGTGTGTGTCTGTGGACACTTTGCATAAATGACTCGAAAAAACCGGGTTACCAAGATATCGCGAAGGGGGAAGTTTTTCCGGCCCAGTCGAAAGGTGTTTAGGGGTATTCGAGGGCGTAGATTACTGCACGCTTATCAGATTTTTAAGAAAATGACGATTTATACCCTATTTTAGTGTTTTAAAAACATATGGAAATGCCCTCATTTGCATACGAGGCCCTAGGAGGCTCATTTTGGATTTTGTCACGCTCTCAGTCGGTCGCTTTTGTGATTGTTAAGGTTGAGAGGTTGGCACTAATTCGCTAGAATTATGCAAAGTGCCCAACGTCTTAAGATCCCCGCGCAAAGGCCAGGGGTGAAAAGCCGCGTCGCGGCTTTTCAACCCTGGTATATAAAAAAAATAGTGCCTGTGTGTGCGTGCCACTTTGCATGCAACTTCCGTCAGGTTGTTCCAGTCGTATCTCAAGAAGGAGAGTAGTTAGGGGCATGTTTGATACGTCATTAGGAGCGTAATGGTCTGGAGATGACTGCACGCATATCAGATATATCAAAATCTCTTATTTTCGACATTAAATTTAGTTTTTGTTGAAAAATCCGAGACCCTCATTGTTAGGAATCAATTAGCATACACCGGAAGTGGGAGCAGCCTATATAAAGGAGCAGAACTAGCATTTCTCATTTTTTTTCCAGCCTCGGTGGGGCACAATTATGCAAAATGAAGGACATCATAGGATGAGACGGGGCCAGGTTTGAAAAGTCGCGAAGCGGCTTATCAAGCCTGGTCCTACTCTATACGGGCCCGTAGTCTATATCATTTCTATTCGTAGATCAATTTCTATCATTAAACCGCTCAAAATGTTGAAAATAGTCGAAATGCAAACGAATATTCAATCAAAATTGCAAAAATACCATTCATGAACGGAGTTATTGGTACACATAGGATAACGGGCGGGGGGGGGGGGAATAAAATAACGGGGAGGGGCACTCATTATTATGAAATTTGCAACTACTGTGGGATTTTCCAAGTGCCACTCGATAGAGCGTCAAAAAATATACTAAGAGAATTGATTTCAGCCCGAAATAATATAATGGAAATTTTTTATTGAATAAACAGGCTAAACTCCAGAATAAACAGACCTCCCGACCCCCACCTACCGTATCTCGGCTCCCTGTTCATCTACAGGTGTGTAAAGTATACCAAAATACTCGCCAGAGCAAGACGAACATTTTGGTATACTTTACACACCTGTAGATAAACAGGGGCCGAGATACAAAAGTTGGGTGCCGGCTGGGGGGGGGGGGTTATCTGGAGTCTTACCAATAAACAAAAATGAGGAAAATCTATGGGCAGCACATAGGATAACGGGGGGGGGGGAAGTCAAATTTTCGAAATCTTTGAAATTTTCGGTATTTTGAAATAGTCATTCGATAAAGCGTCGAAAACTGCTCTAGGAGAATTAATTTCAGCCCGAAATAATGTAAATGAAATTTTTTATCGAATAAACAAGAATTGACCAAAATCTATGGGCAGCACATAGGATAACGGGGGAAGCCAATTTTTTGAGATTTTCGGTATTTTGAAAACGCGAATCGATGCAGACGATGCAGTTGTATCTCGGCTCCCTGTCCATCTACAGATGTGTAAAGTATACCAAAATACTCGCCAGAGCAAGACGAACATTTTGGTATAAGTCACACGCCTGTAGATGAACAGGGAGCCGAGATACGGTAGGTGGGGGTCGGCTGGGATTCCCTATCATTATCTCGAAAACCAACATCTCGAAAATCAACATCTCGAAGGTTCATTATCTCGAAAGTTGTCTACTCCACCTTTTGATAGCAACCCGATATTGATGTCACAAATAAAATAAAAGGCATTTGTTCCGATATATCATTCAATCAACGGCCTGGGCAATTCACTTGACGAAGTTAATGGTTTCATAAGCATCATAGCTCTCGCAGAGGGCTTGTTGCGCCTCGTAGTCGGGACGCAGCTCTTTAGCCTTGTATCCTTGTTGCTGCATTTCCAGAATTCGGATGTCCAGCCGTTCCTGGAATGCCGCCAGCCTCTCGATGAAAGACCAGATCGCCATGCTCTTCCCGTTAAAGTGTCGGCCCAAAGCCGAATTGTATCCCTCTAAGCCACTTTCGAGATAATGAACTTTCGAGATAATTAACTTTCGAGATGTTTATTTTCGAGATGTTGATTTTCGAGATTTTGATTTTCGAGATAATGACCAATCCCCGTCGGCTGGGGGGCAAGCTGCACCTAACTAGTAAGTGCACGTACGCCACGCAATCTGTTAGCAAATCCGGTCTAGTGCGCAAAAATGTCGAAAATTGTTGCACACTGCCGGCGGCCTCCTTGGCGGGCACGCGGTGAAGCTGTTCGGGTGGGGGCGGGAGGATGATGAAGCCGATGGGACGCCGTATTGGCTGCTCGCCAACTCTTGGGGCGACGATTGGGGACAGGCAGGTCCGAGCTTTGCGCATTAAACTTCATAAAATGGATCGTAAGGGAAAAGCTCGATACGGAAAAATTCACAAATTCCATAAGCACAACGCAAAATCGTGAAATGCGCGAAAACTCGCAATTTTCGCCTTCGATTGTCGCCGAAACCGATCCTACATGAAGATAGAGTGGTTTTCGAAAAATGCTCTAAAATTCAAAACTCGGCATTTCTATATGTTTTTTGTCTCCAAATTTCAGGCTTCTTCAAAATCCTCCGCGGCACCGACGAGTGCGGAATTGAGAGCGGCGCCGTCGGCGGGATCCCGAAATTGGAATGATTTTGGCGGCCGGCGTGGCCCCCAAAAAATCGATAAAACATTATTGCGCATAATCAAGGCGCGTGTATAAAGATGTGACGGACATTCAGAAATTTTGATATTGTATAAAATGATGAAACTGGCATGGCTTTTGCTATTTTTGGGCCTTACCTTGGCCGCCGTCGACTACTCCGATTGGGACAAGGCGCAAAAGTTTTGCGGCCGTGAAGTGGGCGCCGTGGTGTCGATTGTGAGTGAAAAGTAGGACTGTAAAAAGTCCTAGACGTTTTCTAAACTTCGTAAACTACAGGGTGCCTCGATAAAAACCCCTCTAGCTCGATGCAGAAGTATCGGATCGGAACGATAGTCACACCATTCAAAAGCCCTGGAAACGGCCCGTTTGCAACAATCTTCCAAACCTAGTTTATTTTTTTTACACCTGTCCTGGGCACGAGAGCAGGTTTTTGCAAGTCAAATTTCCGTCAGACACGGCTTGGATGGGGCTGAAGCCGATGAAATTGAGTTTTTGGCGAAAAAATGTCTAACTTTTGCATAAAAAAAAACAATAAAAACCGAGCTAAAAGTTAGGGATTTTGAAAATCGGAAAGAATAAATCTCCAGAGCTCGTCGAGATCTATCGATAGATACCTAAATCGTAAAAATGGGACATGACTGCGGACGTCTAGAGGGGATACTTTTTTTTGGAACCCGACACTATTTTTATATATTTTTTAGATCATTGAATACCAGAATTCTAATTCCTACATAGGTTTGCGAAAAAGAGGACATGGACGACGCACCGCCGAATTCTGATGCCCGGGCCGTCATCGAGAAGTGTTGCCACGGCGCGGAGGGCTGCACGCTAAACTGGGTGAAAACAGAATGTGCCAGGGTTTTCCCGGAATAAATATTCGGCTCTGTACCGATAGCACCGGGCAATGACAACAGAACGGGGCATTGACAGCAGAACGGGGCCTTGCCAAGTTCCCGCGGCCGGTGGCCAGCAGAACGGGGCATTGGTTTGGCCAGGCCCCCCAGCCGACCCCCACCTACCTTATCTCGGCTCCCTGTTTATCTACAGGTCTGTAAAGTATACCAAAATGTTCGTCTTGCTCTGGCGAGTATTTTGGTCTACTTTACACACCTGTAGATGAACAAGGAGCCGAGATACAAAAGTTGGGTGCCGGCTGGGAGGGGTAAACTGAACTTTATGTTTTTGTCCTTGGGCCTAGACGGGGTTCAGGGGTGTCGAAAATAAAATTTTATACTAATATTTTCGTAGAGATGATTCGCCCCATCATCTCCTTCTCCCCCCGGATAGTCACCTTTTCCCCTACATTTTCCTCCATCTCGGCCACTAATGGCCTCCCCTCTGGCCCTCTCCGCACTCTGCATCTTTTCCCCCTCCTCCGTGGCTATATATATGTGAGTGCAAGCCCGAATAAACAGTCTGACCATCGACTCAAAGGAAACGCGTTGAAGATCTAAAAACCGTTTTCTACAAGGGGTGAAAATAAAATAAGAAACTTTGAGTGGCCTATCCCTCCGCTATCCTCTGTGTCCATCCTCAACCCGGTTTTTCGGGGCAAAAACGCAGATGTTTAAAGGACCTACGGCTATAGAAATAGCAGTAATCCACCTGTCAGAAATCGGCAAAATCACTAAGGTTGGCTACGGGCCGAGGGACACCATCTGCACCTTGTAATTCCCGGAAACACTTTGACATTTAGCCTGTCCTTTCCTTCCATACCGTTCTGTCAGCAAAGAGTGTTGTGTCTGTTTCTGTTGGACCATGCTCGTATCCTGCCTACAATTTTTTTCGATTTTACTTTTTTAAAACAGCTTAAAGACCTTTGGAAAGATCGCTGAGTTTCCCCCAGGGGTGAGGGACTGACGCGGGACTACTAGCGACGTAATTCATATTATTAATTCGTAATTTTATGCAAAACTTCTCGGCGTATGCCAAGGCAAAAACAGGGAAAACGGTCGGCGCGTAGTCCCAAAGCCGTTTGAAGCCCTTTCGCCACGCCTGTCCGCTTGGCTTCGTGGTGGACTGACTAGCATCTTGGGCTGTGGGTTGGAGCATCCCTGGGTCGACCCTCGCCTGGTGCGAAATTCTTTGCGTTTTCGCAAATTGGAGCTTTCCAGAGGCTTTTAAAAGGGCTACGAAATGCCAAAAATTGAGCGACGGCCCGAAAATCGGAGCCCTGTACGTCGGAGGCCTCTGTACGCCCAGGGGCCGGGAAGCTCGCAAATTTGAAATTGACTGTTGTCACCTCGAAAACACGTTCTCGGCTGTTTCTGGGCCAAATTTGAGGATTAAAACACCAAAGCTGTTTAAAATTGAGTGAGGATTTCAAAAATGGGCTCAGAATGCGCGAATTATAGTGTTTTCACAAAGAAACCGGGCAAAAACAACTTCGCGCAAAAATCGAAAGAGTGAGGGCTCTTGTCCCGCAGCGCCCGCTGGCCATTTGCCAGAAATCACTGAGCCCACCAAAGGGCTTTGATTTGGCAGTTCGGAGCCCCTTTAAACACCCGCATGCCATTCTGAACTTTTCGATGAGGTGCCGTTCGATTTATCGGTTCAGTATTAAAGAATGTCTTTAGGAACATGGGGTCACTATCAAAAACAATATTAATTGGTTTTGAGACATCGTGTATCAATTCCACGCGTGTTGACAAAGGCATTTCCGGTTATCGATTTTCAAAGTTTCTTCTGCAAAGCGTCGGAAATAAATCTAGCAATATCTTGAAAATAGGCCGATTTCCCGGGGTCTGTCCTATATTTAGGATCTGAAAACGATAATTAGGGTCGAAGTTCTAGATGTTCGGTCGTTGCACGTTCGATACCGGTCGTCTGCCAAAAGACCTCTTCTGCGCCGTCATAGGTCAATTATCCACCGCGGAAATGATCCCTTTGCAGCGTGTCAGCAAACGATTCAGGTGCCCAATCCTTTCTCTATGAACATCAAAAATAGAGATATATCTTTTTCCGTGCATATCCGTTTTCCAGAGCGGTGGTGAATGGTCGATGTCTGATCCCACGGAAGCTCCTCAACATTAGATTGTCCACCCCAGCCCCAGCAATGGACGACGAGACTGGGGATCACGATGAAAAGGTTGCGTATTTTTGATCGGCTTATACCTGCTTTTTCCGGAATATAAGAATTCTAGATTCCATTTGTTCGGCAAAAGCCATGATTTTTCGTCGATTGAACTTGATATTGTTAAAAGCTATTCATTGCAATAAGCTTCAATATATTTCTTTTTAATTAAACCCGCTATTTTACTCGCCATTTTGTAGAATTTTGCAGTCTTTCAGGGGTGCAGATGAGCTAATTCGCCTAAATTTTCCAAGCAAAAGATCGGAAATAGCCGTGTTCCTTAATGTTTTTCAATTCGTTGTAAAATAACGCATTCTTTTGAAGAATGTTGCAAAAATAGAAAATTTCCTCATTCTTGCAAGTTGCGCTTGCGTGTGTGGTCGGTTGGGGGGGGGGGGGTCCGAAGGAGGAATGAAAGGAAATGATAAATATAGTGAGCTAAGATTAAAGAAAATCATGTAAATGAGAAAAAATGGTTACTCCAATATGGAGTTTGGCTAAAGAAAGTAAATTAATTGGCCTGTTTCGACCCTTGTCCAAGACAGGCAATTTACACTAGGGTCGGGTCATCCTCAGTTGGAATCCCTAGCGAAGGAAATTAGATAAATTTTGATAGGAAAGGTTTGTTAGATGAAAATTAAAGGTTAATGAAGTATTTGGTTGAGAAGGTTTAACTAGATTGTGGTGGGGAATTTTTGAGTTTCCGCGTGGGGGTGGGTATCATGGGGCAGAGAGAGGGGGCAGAGAAAAGAGATATACATGGCGTAATGGTCTGGCGCGTTCGGTTTAGAAAATGTGTTGATGGTTGAAAGAAGTCGAAAATTGAATGGAAAAGGATAAAGTAAATGGTAAAGTGATAAATTATAGAAAGTGAATATATTAAATTTATCTAATAGGGTTTATATTCGACTATTTTAGTAAATGAACTATGTTTTTGGATTGCATTGGTGTTTGAGACTAAGTACCGGGTATTTAGTGAAAATTTTTTTGCAAAGGGCATATAAAACTAGCGTAGGGTAACTATTATTTTGTAGATGAGTTAGTAAAAGTTTTATGTGTTTAATTAGATCTTTTTTTTTTTTTTGCTGGGAGCATTTTTCGAGCTATTCTGATAATTTCTCCTTCCACGCACCCGTGTTTGATAGAGTAGGAGATGTTTGAGCAATAGTTTGGTAGGCGTGTGACCTTAAATTTATAATCATCTACTTTATTATATAATTCGGTATGTGTTATATTGTTTTGAGTGTAGATTTTTAGGTCTAGAAAATTTCCGCAATCATTTCTAGAGTTTGTTCGTTCTAATGTAAGTTCTTTGGGGTAAATTTCGGATAGATATTTTTCAATATCAATGGAGTTTTTGTAAAGTATAAGTATATCATCCATGTATCTGTATCCTACAATCTTGCTATCAGCTTTTTCTTTGAGATAAATGTATTCATAATACGTTAAAGTTAGGTCTGCTAGCATAGGGCTACAGTTTTGTCCTTGAGGGATACCTTGTTTTTGTTGAAAAAGTAATTGTTTATAGGTTACAAAACTGTTACTCAGTACGTAGTTAACTAGATACATGATTTCGTTTTTTCCAAAGATATTATTACCAAGGTTTTCGTTTGTATAATAGCAAGATTTGTATCCCATTTTTATATATTTCTTTTGAGAGTTTTTAAAACAAATTTCTAGGATACCATCAATGGCTTGGGTCACGATAGAATGTGGAAGATTAGTAAAAAGACTACTAAAATCTGCAATATATATATTATTTTTATCGTGATTCTCTAGCAAATTGACTTGGTTGGAGTTATTTATAGACCAATATACTATTTTGTTCGTATTATTTGCTATTACTGAGCAGTATCTTTGTAAGTGTTGGCGTATAAAGTTAAGGATACGATGTAAAGTAATAGAAATGGGTTTGATTGAGCTATTATATGCACCAGTAATAAATCTGAATTTAATAGGGTGTTTATGGAATTTAGGTAGTCCGTATATTTTGGGTAGGCTTGGCGTCTCTGGTGGGATAATTTAAATAAAAGATGTGTGTTGATATGCCTTTTAATTATATTTTCTTCGTTCTCAATCGTATATGGTATATAAGTTTCGTTACCATTAGGAAGTCCATTTTGTATTCCCATTTCTTTATCAATAAATTGTTGGTAAAGAAGTGGGCAGATTATTGCAAAGTTAGAAGTTGCTTTATCTACGCTAGTAATTATGAATTTTCTCTGCAATAATCTTATCTCATTCCAGTCTAGCTTAGTAGTCTCTTTATTACTACAATAATTAGTAATTAAATTGATTAAATCACTACTGATTTGTTGAAAATTAACGTTTTTAGCTATTTTAGAGATTTCTTTACCAAATTGTGCAATCATTTTATATTTTACATCTTCTTGAGTGTAATTCAAACTAGGTCGGAACTTAGTGCCTAATTTGAGTATTTCATAGGTGTTTGGGAAGTGTTTAGAAAGTGAATTACTATCGCCCGTAAGCACGTGCGTTTGTCCATTGTGGTTAACACTATTATTTTGATTCTGGAAATCGAAACAATTATTACAGTGAGTAGAATTACGTTTAATATGATTGTTTCCAAGTTTATTGAGAAATTTATTATAGTTAAATAACAATTGACCTAAGGTTGGGTTATATTCATAAGTTATTTGGAAGTCAGTGTTGAATTCTATTTTTGCTTTATTTAGGTATTCTTTAATAATTCTTTTACAATTAATTCGTTCTATACTTGGTTCTAGATAAGGGACTTTTATACGTATTTTAGGATGTTTCTTTTTTGGTTTTACTT